GCTAAAAAAAAAGGTTACAGTAGAGTATCAAAAAAGTCATTATCTATCTTCAACAACTTTCTTGCCAGTTGAATGCACATAACCACCCTGCACCACCATATTTATAATATTGTACTTTTAGTTTAAATTGTTAATTGGTAACATGAAATGAAGGTTGTTGCATGAGGGAATTTGGTTTGGAGCAATAACAAACTAATTGGAACAGTGTGGGAGAGCTTAATTTGTTGCAAATTTAATACCATTCAAGGTTTGCTTCATTAAGATGATTGAAAGGTGTGATTGGCTGTGACCCATTTTGGAAGGAAGGAAGAAGAAGAAGAAAAACAAAACAAAACAATCGACAACTGGGGTACCTACATGTATGAAAAGTATGCAGAGGTTCAAAACATTTCCTATCTCTTTCTTCTGAAAATCTGAAATTAAATCATGCAAATTTAAAGTACAGCATCACGTTGATTTAAAACGTATTGAAGAAGAGAGAGAGAGAGAAAGAAGAATAAAGAATAAATAGAGAAATAAAGGATCTTTTTAACAAAAGCTGAAGTATTTGTAGATACATATATGTTCTGCATCCATCTATGTCCATTTTTTTTCTCTCAAACAGTTGAAAAACATTAGTTTCCTAGCTATCAGTAAATCTTGGTTCAAAAGTAGCAATATCTTAGTAGCCAATGGCTACTAAAATTGGAAAAGGACTGCTTAAATTTTTAAGTACACTAGTTAAGTTTGAAATTCAATGAATTTCAAAGGATAAGTAAGAATGACTAGTACCTAATTCTTGCAGTGCACGTGTGTATATCACCTGCAAGCTCTTGATGCTTAAAGGCAGAGCTGTTTTTTTTTTGTTTTTTTTGTGAAAAATCGTATTTTAAGAGGTGATATCGTATTATCGTATTCCACTCTTATTATCGTACTAAATACAATTAAATCGTACTGGTTGGCACCTCTGTAAAGGTTAAGCGCTACCCCTAAATTCAAACATAATCAAAGCTTTTATCACAATCAAATAAAAAAGACTTCTGTTACCTTTCTTCAACTGCATTTTAATGTTGGTGAATTTAAAATGCATTCAATATCACAGAAGGTCTGTCTAATAATGTGCAAGAACATGCTTACATTTCTTGACCAGGAAAACCCATGAGGTGTATACTGGCAGATCAATACCTCAACCACTATCACAGTCACAGTCATCATCAAACATACTCAACTTTAAAACAGATTATAGTATCAATAATCACCTTCAGTCAAGCCATAATTCCATGTAGTTATATCCTCATCATAATACAGAATAATATTCTTCAACAAGGTATTATCAATGCCCAAGAAGGCATTGATGTCCCAAGGAGACTACCGCATGGCGACAAATTCTCTACTAACCGACCAACGTAAAGAAATAGATAGACAAGGGCTTAATAAAGGAGTACAAAGTAGCTCATTGAACAATGGTTGTCAGTTAGGTTCAGACACAAGGATTAAATTCAAAAGTATTAAGCCTCTAACGGCAGCACAGTCTGAAGATGAGAATGAGGTTTTTAGATTTGAGTGATTATCCCTCTCTACAAGATTATCATAATAAAAATAATTGAGGAGATGATTTGTAAGATATGAGTTATTTAATCATTATTTACAAAATAAAATATAAAATGAACATATTTTCAAAGAAAACATGTGCATTCATTGCAATAATTATTTCATTAATGATGCATAGTTTTGATGCAAAATGTTAGAAATAAGTGTAATTCATACAAAGCTTCCTTTAACCTGTAATTAACAACTTAAAGGCCACTTTTCAAGATAAGATATATTGATCATGGAAGAGACTGAAAGAATGAGAAAAGAGGAGACTATCAAGGAAAAGAAAAAAGGAATGAATGAAGTCATGCTTGGATGTATTTCTTTACCTTGGAATACCATGTCATCATTATTTTGGCAACCGCATTCCATGAACAATTGTTGCATGGAAATGGATCACGGTCTCCATTATCTGGCTGGCCTTGCCTTATGTACCCACTTTATTCAATCAATTTCTTCTACTTTATAGTATAAACAATATACGCATGTACCACTGTATTCACCAGCATTCCAAATTTACAAAATCAATTGTTTCATTTTTTGGCAATTTGTTTTCAGAACTTCTAGTGATAATCTGAAAACAAAGTTTTAGACATGTATTTTTTATAATCAGGTATTCTCTTCCAACATGCAAACATGTAAAACACATAGCAGAAGGTATGAATGCACTTTTGCATTCCATCTATTAAAAGCTTGATTTATGTTTTAAGCAGCCAACACTACTTCAAGATGATAGACTTCTAGTATAGAAACAGCTTTCTACACAAATACAAGAAACTATAAGAAAAGCTTCCTTGAAAAATATGAGAAGTATAGAACACAGATTACACTAACATGATCCTGTCACTTCCCTGCATGGACCATTTGGACCCCACATTTTGTAAATCATTATTACGATTATATTTTCTATACAGATTCAAGCAATTTTCATGACCATTTGTTAATTTCCTATTTAGTTAAATATGATGATGAACTCTTTTATTTTGTTGTTTTATCAAATTCATTAAACTTTCATTCCCATACAACTCCCACTTCTTCAGTTCTCTTGGTTATTTACATATAACTGACAGTATTTGAAGCAGGAACAATCCTCAAGCTTTCCATAAACAGAACATGACATTTGCCACTTTCACTGAGATCATGCACGCTTTGTGCAATATCCTCCCATAAAGGACTGTAAACTCAATCCTTCTTGGCAGCAGGAAAACAGTTAGTTTTCAAGAACGTGAGCTCATAACACTCCCATAAGCTGATTATTAACGGAACATGGCAGTTTCTTGAATCAATTGAGGCAATCAATGATCACAGGTCAAAATGAAACAGAATCCTTTTGACTTCTTTTGACTGTACTATCCTTGAGCAGAGAAAATTAATTTCAAGTTTGATTATAATACAGACAAAAAGGCTCCAGATAGTCTCTAGATTAAGACCGGTCACCCAATTTCATCAGTATTTCTGTTTATTCCATCATCGTTCTCTCATCAAATATTTTCTCATCTAACATTACACATTCCCTCATAAATTTTCTTCTTCAGTATTGCAAATTGATATTTCTTAGCAACATTTTGAATGTTTACACCTCAAACGATTGGTAGAAAGAAGAAAGTAGAAGTAGAAAATGAGAATGACCAATACTCTTTTAGATACAAATGAAAAATATAAAGGAAAGAAGAAAGTAGAAGTAGAAAATGAGGATGACGAATGCTCTTTTAGACATAAATGCAAAGATGTAAACCAAAACACTTTCAAAGATAGATAGCAGCTCAAGAAAGAGGGATAAAAATAGAGAGAGAGACAGAGACAGAGAGCAGACAGATTATAAAAAGGAACAGCGACAGAAAGTAAGGAAGTGGAAGGATCGAGACAGAGAATGGTAGAGAGACAGGAGAGGAAATATCTTCCTTGATAAATGGATGGACATCATTATTGTCAATTCATGTTTAGCCTTAGAAGAGTTTTAAGCTAAAACAACCTTGCGATGAAAGAGGATTGTGAGCTCAAATTAATCTCACTTCTGTGCTATTTGACACAGTAGTATACTGAAGAAGCCTTGGTGTGCATCTCCAACCTCAATAGTAGTTTGGGTATACACTGTAAAGAAGGGGTTCTCAAATAGAGCCCATCTGTCATTTGGAGAAAAGAAAAGTACTTCCACTTTACGTGACAGCAATGGTATATTCTAGGCCTGACAACCAAAAAAGACTTTTGAAAGAAGGAAGACACCTTAAAAATGCGTTAAAAAAATATAAAGCTTATGAAAATCCTTCTTCCCAAATACTACTGGTAATGTAAAGAGATTTAAAAAAAAAAATTAAAAACCTGAAAATTTTGCACACAATATGCACAGAAGGAGAAGGAAAAAAAAGAAGAATACATATATTTTCATTAAAGTCTGAGCTAGATCTCCTTTCAAAAGAATCATTTGTATACTCTATACCTGTACTTTTTGAAGTAAATTGTAAAGTGCTTTGTGACTGCGAGGAAAATGTGCTACACTGTATACCTAACACTCTGTGGGTTGGATTAAAACAGAAACGACTAAAATTTCGCAATTGGGTGTTTACCACTAGAGGATTTCTCAGAGCCTGATCTCTCATCCTGAGCTAAATGGTTGGCTTACATACGCACACTTAACATTTTGCACTTTACAGGATTTACATTCAAGTAGCTAGCTTAGGATACCATGCATAAGATGCGTATACTATTTCATTGTGCATTCGTGTAGATCATTGAATCCTTTCCTTCAAGCATTTCTACATGTAAAAGATATGAAATTGTTGCAGTATGGAGAATCTAATTACTCTCATTCTTGATGAACTCTTGATCTTGCTTGTATACCAATGTATGGGTATTATATATATACTGTAAAGCTTTATGAAACAAAAGAACACAATAGCAAGAACTTCATTGGTACATGCACAAACAAGATAGTGACTTGTTACAATGTTAAGCAATATTGTGTCTCAAGACATTAACCTACATATGCCATCCTCAATCCAGGTGTAGAATATGGGTACTTGATAAAAAGAAATTCATTGAAGGTTGAGTGCACTGAAATCTGTAGCCAGGTTAATTCTGGAGAACTTGGATTACCTTGAGTAGTGGTTCTATTAATATTAAGATATCTATGTTGAAGCTAATATATGGTGCTGTCAAGCAATCACAAGCTACGTACTCTTAGATTAGCAGGTGTGCGCTTGTAAAAATGACGCCTGGCTGGAATGCTCCCAAGGGAGTGGAGAATGCGCATACATTGTGTGCGGGTAAGCCTTGAATCCGATAACCGGGTAATAGTATATCTGTAAGGCGCTTTGATAGGGCCCTCCTGAAAAAGGGCCATATAAGAAATAGTTATTATTATTATTATTACATTATGTAAAGTAAAGTTGAGTGCTGTTAGTGGTGAAAGATACGTCACTGAATCATACCTGTTGCGATTCCTTTTTCGATGCGGTACTTGCGACACCCTCTCTTGTCTTGGTTGACCGTGCCCTGGGAGTAGAACCTTCCTTGTGGTTGATATGTCCAGAATCACCCTCTGGTCCAGGGGCTTGACCAGACCTAGAGTGTGGATGAAAATATGCAAATAGTGTATAATTAGAAAACAAATACATACAAACAGCATGCAAGAAAACAAACTTCCACTAACAACACATAAGAATTATAATTATGAGACCCACACATCATAATTTTGATAAGAAACATAATCATTAATAGAAGTATACATCATAATATCCTGATAAAATCATTTGTAAATCCAATTGTACAAAGCAAGCTATAAATAGAATTTAACAGATATCTTTGAGTAAACTTTATATGTAAATGCAAATTTGTATGAAGAACAGTTGTTGGCTGAAGATTTTTTCAATGTAAATTTTCCCCCTTTCTTTTTACTCATAAATATAAATAATTGCATGGTTTATGGTATATCATAGAAACAAATAACAAATGAACTATATATCATGGCAGGTGTCATTAATGAAGGTGAATAATTCAGTATCTCTGCATCTCATCTCACAAAAAGGAACAATGAATGAATTAACAGTAAAATATGAGTACAACTACAAACTAGAATCTAGACTAGAGAAATCGCAGAGTATAGGAGCTAATCAGTTCTTTAACTTCCATTTCCAATCATGTCTCTTTCCCTGCCTCCATCCGTATTTATTTCTTTCTTATTACACTACCTCCTAGCTCTGCTGTGCTGCTTTTATAAAACACCATACAAGACATCATTTGTTCTTGTCATTCATAAGTAATAGGAGGTCTGATGACAGCTCAATGAATAACTGCTTTCAATTCACTTCATCACTCTGCGTCACAGCACACGGTAGTATTGTCTGGTCTCCATTATAAATCATTTTCAAGATCGTGCTCGATTCATATTGGTTTGTGTTTGGTGGTTTACCATTCAATTGTCCTTTCAAGTTAAAAGTACGAGTGGCCAAATCATGAGAAATCGGGTAAATTACTTTATGGATTTGGGTCGGCCACAATTGGGCTATATCACATTCTGTGGTCAACATTCATTATTCTATAGTTCCCATGGTGATAGTAATCAAAGCGTGGTTTTCAGAAGTGACATTTTATTTTTCATTTTGTATGAAATCCCAAAAGTATTACAGTCACGGAGATAAAAAAAGCACCTATCAAGAGAGAAGATATCATTTGCTACATGAAAGGCTACATGCATGTACAACATGTGCAGTATGATACACTACATGTAGTTGATGAATTGAAAATGTACCCCTACCTTAAAAAGAGTGACCTTTTTCCAAGGTACTGTGAGATAAAATCAGCCATTAACGTTGCTAGAATTTAGGTTAAAAGGCAATAAAGAATTCACTTTTAAAAAGTTAGTGTCTCTAAATTTTAGTTACTGAAACCATACTCCTGCTATTCAAATGATGACACATATCGCAACCTTTGTTTCAATTAAAAAACAATTCATTCTTGACAACTGATCAATTCGTCACTTGAAAAACTACTAGTGAACTTTTTTTTTTATTTATTTTTTTTTTTAAAGCAGTAATATCTTACTCAGAATCCCAAATTTCCACACATTTGATTTATCAGTGAGATAGAATTACCATGAGGGGAAAAGATTGAAACAGGAAACCAAATTTTCCTCTCCTGTGGCCTGGTTTTTTCTTCTTTTTTGCCCCCAAGAGGCTGGAGGGGCAAAGACTCTATTGCATCTTTAATGAATAATCCTAAAGACTGGAAATGAATTTTCATCAAGCCATTTTGTGAAGAGTGTTCAAGTAAAGTATATTGATCTGGTGGGCTCTAGAGGGTATGAATAATATCCCTAGGTGGTTTGCAAGTGTCAAATGATAATTCCTCTGTACACTCCCGGGAATTGCCTTCAACATATTATGGGAAGGTAAGGGGGATTCAGCCAAAATCAGCTGACTTCTTCCTCAATAATTGTACGTCCCACCACCAGTGTTGCCCATTTTAAAGTATAATCAATGGGTCAATCTGCACATTTCTAATTGTTTTTCTTCATACTTCAGTCAATTTTGAAAGCCACAGAGGGTGTAATGATCTAGACTACAAAATAAATTCACATATTCAACAAAAAATAAAGCAGGACAAATTGAGAATTAATCCTAATCATCTATTAGTATCAGTAAAATTTACTGTATTATTATTATTTCAGTAATTCAGTAATTATTAGCAATGTACATTTTAAACGCCTTGACAGAAATAGTGGGAGCGGGGAGCAGAAAGTGACGGAGAGAGAGGATGAACACAAAAAGTAGAGAGAGGAAGAGAAAGATAAGAGATAGAAATGAGAAAAGTATCATGAGTTTGACATGTGAAGGGGGAATACAGGGGAGAGCAACAGAGAGGAGAGAAAGAAAATAAAACAAGAGACACGGTTATGGGAGGGAGTCGTTTGCTAAAGAAAGGATGAACGAAATGAGAATAAAACGAAAATCTAAAACATATAAAATGCATATATTGCACAAGTACATTTACATGGAGATGCAACCTCCGCCAACATGTTGAAAATTGATTAGATTCATTTGAAGAATTTCCTCTGGGAGAATTGTGGAGAGCATCATCAATAACATCTCTCTCCTATAGCTATCCCTGTACGTTCATTGCAGCCTAACCCTTTATACACGGGACCATCTCCAACTTTGCTCGATATATATTGACCTTTGGAGCTAGTCTGGCAGTCAAATTAATTCGATAAAATCATGAGCCAAACATGGCTCTTTCGTCAAACTATTTTTTTCTCCCCATCCATCCTACCCATCAATCCACTCCATATAGGATCACCAAGTGCAAGTATACTCTAAAATACAAGCAGCACATGTGTAAAAATACTGGTTACATACATGCTACAAGCTTGTATGCATGATGTAGATTAATTTGCTAGGTAGCATGTAGTTAGTGAACTTTTACAAATTTGTCAAAATAACAAAGAAAATGTAAAAATCCCTTTTTTCCAGTTGTAATATTTCACTTCAAATTTGTTAATTCATCATTTTAATTATCAAAATGTTTAAGTTAGGGTATGGATAAATTACACAAATCATGCAGTTTTTTATAAAGGCAATTATGTTTAATGTAAAAACTTTTTTTTCCTCATATTTTTTTAAACAAAGAAAAACAAAATAAAAAATGTCCATTATTTTGACCTTAGTTTTTAAACCTTTTCCCAATATTACTGACCAGACTTTATATATACCCCAGATTGACGACAGACAGGGCAAAAATTACATTACCCTGACTGGCTAAACATTGGGAGCTGGTGAGGAGTCGGTTGGCAGTGTGAATGAAGTATAACCAGTATGAAATATGGGCAAATAACATAGCAGCCACAAGCTCTAAAAGAAGATTCTATTTCAAACCATTTTCCAAACTTTAATACTTTTAGTTTTAGAAAGGAAGAGGTAAACAAGTGTTAAAGCTTGCCTAACATACATGAACTTACCTGACCTACTTTGTCACTCTTTCAAATATGAATAAATGAAACATAATCATGCAATGTTACTTAGAAGATTTAACACAACATGACACGCACATTTCTTACTACCGGTAACCCAAATTCGCCCCTTGTATGTCAATAGGAGCAATTCAAGCAACTTAATATCTATAAATCAACTCTCATTGAAATGGAAAGTGATCGAGTTGCTTAATGTCACGCAGATCCCAATTTTTAATGGGAGGCACCTTTCTATATTACAAGGCTTCCTCATATAAAAGCAAACAAATTACCAGACTCAATCATCTAAATTGAAATAATATTTCTTTCCTATTCTGCTTGTATGTTGCCTCTTTCTCTCTCTTTCTATATAATAATGTTGACCTTTAATTCAAGCTCCTCTGTTTGCTCTTCTTCGCAATTATATATCGCACTGCGTATCATGAAATATCAGTTCATATCCCAATTTCTCTTTATGTGTTTATGATGAAAGGCTTTATGAATAATCTTTTTTTTAATTTTAAACAGTTTACCTGTATCACAATTATCTGATCACTTTTCACATTTTGATAGTTTTCATCATTTAATCAGGCAAAATGAAACTGCATGAATATGCCATTTTGTCTCTCCCCGAATTCCTTGATTATTAAAGAGCTGTTCATAAATTATTTTAAGGGAAGAGTGATAAATCTAGAGAAATATTTGTTATTTTTCCACCATGATATATAAAATGACCAAAAATATACATTATTTTACCCAGTTTGATAGTCTTCATGTATCTCATCAATTAAAAAACAATTACAAAATAATAATAGATCAAAAGATTATTTTTTTCTCAAGACAATTAGCTTAGATCAGTTTGCATGAAACTTTCTGCATCTTAAGATTAAATACATTTTTCTCTTTAAAATTGTCAAAAGCATCTTCTCTTTTCCATATCATCAGCCCCCCCCCCCTTCACCTACATCATTGTACATTTACCATACACAACCTCCATTTCTTTCCTTTCTCTCTCTCTCTCCTTTTCTACCATACAGTCTATTAAAGTTGCATTAGGAGTGCTTGGGATGGTAATAATGAATGCATATTGATCCAACCCCATTTCTTTTGATATTCCTTCCCTCTTTTGTTCTACCATGTGTGCACCCCGAGCCGTGCGATGACGATAGTAGTTCTATTGTTTGTAACCAGATGGGCGAGCCCTATTGGAGGACACCAGGGCGTCCCTAGTTCATGGTATTGATTGGTTCTCTGAGCGCTTGCTTGCTAGATAAGAAGAAGACCTATAGCTTGCATGTATGAAGAACTGGAAATTAACCAACCATTTTTCGTGAATAAAAGCTTACTAATGAATAATTCACACTGGAAGGTATGGATGATTGTAAGATGTATAATTTGGTTGAGAGTTTCAAACAATTCTTCTCTCTTTCAGTCTTTGGTATCTTCCCAACATGAAGAAGAGCCCATAGTTCCTCTAGATAACAATATCTTCAAATTATCCTTGTCCTTCTTCCCCAGGGGGTGATACAAAATGCATTCCTTTCATCCATGGTATACAATACAAGGTTGGTGAATGTTTAATGTAATATCTTTCTCAAAGAAACAATGGTTAAATATAGGGAAAAATATGGGCGAATGAAAGAAAATGTACTGCAATGGTACATATAATTAGAGAAACATCTTCACATTCTAATTTTGTTCCAAATTACAGTCATTGGTGTTATTAAACCATGTATATTTAACCCATTCATATACTTCTACATGTCCCATTTCCCATGACTGCATGATGTATAAAAGAAATAATGATGAATCGGTATCCTTATTTTTCATAGTAGATTTTAATATATACACCATTCTCTTTCAAAACAATAAACTATAGAACATCATGAGTAAACTGTGGTTAAAGAAAATGATGAAATTGTACAAACCACCACGTTTCAATACAATAAACATCAATAAAAAAACATATATGATAGCAAAACAAGTTAAAGTAAGTAATCATTACTCCAGAAACTGTATATACTACAAAGCAAATGTTCCATTATCTGCTTGTGTAACAAACCATCCATGTCTTTTGTTAGAGTCTTTTACATGTACATGTATGTGTACTTCAAAAGTCAAATTATCATCATAATCAAAATTGTTATTAAAAGGAGTGATGATATTAAAACATTTTCAAACAAGCCGGATATTCGAAAGAGACCCCCCATTATCAAGCCTGCATAGAATAAGGTTACATCAAATTAAGAAAATAGCATGCACTTTACTGGTCTCTATATATGCCCTTCGTAAAATTGAAACATGTATGCATGTATGTTATAAGTGAATGGAATCAAGGACAGGTATAGTAAATACATGTATGTTTAAAAGGAAATGACAAACAAGAAAAAAACTGAGAGAATGATTGAGCATGAACAATAGTGTTGGCATAATATTTTGATATTGTTTATTTGTCTAATATAAATGGTGGGAGTGGCAACATAGTTCTACAATTTTTGCCTTCATCATGGTGCATATCTATAGTGGTATATTCACTAACAAAAATGGTCTACAATGTTGTTTTCATACTTGAATGTGAATGTATATCGATCTCACATGTTTTCAAAGAAAGAAACAAATTATAAGAAATCAAAAATTATGACAACATTATGTAGAAGTACTGTAGCTCCAATTCATGAATTCAATTAAATTCTGTGTAAATTTGTATGTAAAAGGAGTACCGTACACATAGATGGAGAAAAAAAAATCTTCAGTACTGAGGTGACAGACAGGTTTAAGTGGCACACAGCTCCATAAAACTCTCTGATTTTTCCTTTTTGGAGTGCATGAACTCCAGGTTAATGCATCTCTTCTCATCCCTGATCCCTAGTACAGTCAGCCGCTCATCATTCCAAGGGATGGGTAAATGGGAGGGGTCATTCCACAGGCAGTGGCACTTGATTGGTCAATTAGGGTCCCCAACACCTTGGCACTCTCACGCATACACAGGCTTACACGTGGCAATGGCTGATGAGATGGGTGTGTGACCCAGGGAGGTGATGAATAGCAGAGCAGAGGGCTGCATTCACACAAAGTGTGCAACTTGTAGCTTACACTGCATTAAATAAAACAGTGTGAACAAGGTAGAGGATAGCTCATGATTGTGTTCAGATTGCAAGCACTATGTGAAGAAGCTGCATGTATGCTAATAGCTGCATGATGATTAAACATGTAGGCCTTTGTGGCCCACCAGGTTTCCAAAAATAGTCATGGTGTTCTCACAAATTAGATTTCTCAATGAATTAGGCTAATCTCCTGATGTATTCAATGTAAATTTTAAGCCCATAATCTTGTTAAATGTATAGCGCATGGTTGGATTTGAAAAAAACATGCAACACTCTCACATCTCTCTCTCTCTCTCAGGCTATCAGCTCCAGATTTCACACTCATTCAAACTTTATGCCACTGGCCCATTGCCCCCTCCCTGCATAAATTAAATTTCCCTATGCCCTCTTTAATTCACTCCCCCCACTGTTC